ACCTCGGTGAAATGTAAGCAACTGGTATGTATAACCTTATGCGTGTATTTTCTATGGGTATCATAGTTTTAATATGATATTTGCTAAGGTTTATTCAATCTACAGATGTCCTCCTGCTTGGTGCATTTTCAAAGTCTGATGTCTCCATAAACGGTTCCCAAAAGGGTTCTTTAATCCCGCGATCCCGACTGAAAAATGTTCTCTCATTCCCGAAATGCCTACGGTTAAAACCGGCCGATCCCAGTCCTGATCATTTTGCGGTTTTTTCTTAGTCCATCACATAATATTAAAGGGGCCTTTTCGATGGGTGAGGATTTTCTCAATCGACATTGATCCGTTGAAGTCTTTGCTAACCGTAATGCGTGAGTTTACCTCCCCAAAGCGATGAATGAGTTTTCAAAGTTTTACACGAGTAAAGTACACTAGTCACTGTAACGACTTCCTTCCGTTTAACTACGATCAGGGAAAAACGTTCAAATAAAGACAGATCAGTATCAAGGAAACGAATAACACTGTCAACAACCAAAGGTGACGGCAATCTCATAGTTTCGTAGCAAGGGATCAAAAAAAAATTAACCCAAAACAATTGTGCTGAAGTGAATATTTCTTCCGAAACTCAAAACTCCCTAATGTCATTGAGTAAAGAATTCCAAATTTTTGGTCCAAAAATATATACAGAATGAATGATAAGTAATTAAGAGCGATAAGGGGCAGACAAAACCCGTATCATTAAATTCTGGGTTGTTGAATAAGTTTTACTCACTTCTTTATGGGTTTTTGTATGGTATGATTAATTACTTGATCAATTGCTTGGCTGCTTGACTAAACCAAAGGTCGCATAATAGAGTTTCTTTGCAACGATGTTGGAACATGAATGACGTTGCAGGTCACGCGATCGCATGTTTAAGACGTGGATGACAAATGAAACCGGCCTCTGATCCTGCCAGAGAATGGCACAATCATTTTGAATAGCATTTAGAATTCGTAGTAGTCGTCGACTACCAATAACTTGCACTCTCGGGAAAAATCATTAAATGACTTATATCTAGGTGCACTGAGGTATTTTAAGGAGCTGTATTGCAGTTTCTTGCTTGCAATGGACTAGCATCGCTTCTAGGGGGAAGCAGTGATACTCATTGTCGCTACATGCTGAGGAAACAGGAATAGGCTCTGGCTGGGTGGACCACTTGACGCGAGTACAGACTTCAGCTTTTATTACGATTGTAGTTTCTTCAAATTAGGAATTTTTTAAAGTTTCTAAGTTCATTTGGTTTTTTTGTGTTTAAAGGGCGAGGCTCACCGAGAATACCAAGTCGTTATCATCCAAGCATTGCACCAATGCACTTGCAGATACAAAGCGTATTATTTTTTGGTTCGTGTTTACATACCGAGGGTTGCTGCTGCTGTTCGGGATTTTTTTGGCCTGGGAGACACGCAATGTCACTATACCTACCCTGAATGACTCAAAATACATCGGAACGTCGGTTTCTAACGTGTTCTTGTTGTCCATCATCGGTGCCGTTGACATTAGAAGGATCTGAGTACTACAACGCCTCCTATGCCATTTCATCCATATGCCTGATCATGAATACTTCTTTGACGATGCTGTTGGTGTTTGCTCCAAAGGTGAGAATTTCATGGTTGGAAACCTATCATTTACACGTGTGACTATAGGGGTGTTTGGCTTAACTGTATTTCATGAATTCATCATACCCTATCAAAAAGCGTCAGCAATTTCTGACTGTTTCGGAGTTACCTTCCTTAGATGTTGGTTTTTAACCACGGAGAACTAAAGTGAGGAAATTATTAGCAGAAACAAAAGTCTTTACAACAGTCAGATTTTGTCCTTTATGACATCGTAAAGAGGAGTGTGTCTTTACAAAAAAAAGCAAACCCTAGGTAGTATCAGAAATAAAGGAGTTAATGAATAAAAAGATTCTTGCGTTTGTTGCAGATTTATCAGTTTTACACTAACGACGAGGTAATCGCCAAGAGGATCGAGCTGTGAACTTGATGGTGGGGTAAGAGTTTAACTACAAGCAACACAAACAGACCTTAGTGCATCAGAATGTGCAGGTAAAATAAGAATAAAACTGCTTCCTTCAAAGTTTTTCATGTCTCACTGTTTTCCAGTGTTTAAAGGCTTCAAGCCTTTTCCTCCCATGAGTGACCAAGAGAGAATTTCTCCTTACAATATCAATACAATATCAAGCATAGTAGTGATGAGAATAAAGGAAAACATCAATTGGGGGATTATTAGTGGGTCCAATACCAAATTCTCCAAATTGACATCATAAGAATTGTATGTCAGACAGTAAAAAGAATTACTAATGAGATCTTCGAACGGAATTAAAGGGTTCAGTAAAACATTGGGTGTGCTCGGCAATGTGCTTCAGTACTACTGAAATAACGGTACCTTTTTTCTTCAGCGAGATGTAATAAGGCGCTGTTTCGATTACTTCAGAAGGCTTAAATTACTCGTACAATGAAGGTTATGGCTTTCTGCCGTGCATAATTAATTTTAAGTCATATTTATTTGAAAAACCTCTCGATAAAGATCTAACCAAATTTATTTGAGAAGGCGCGATCGAAAACCTTAAAACTGAAGTCTTTTTCAAGGAAAACAAGGGAGGTTTAAACCAAATGCATCATATTCTTTTCATGTTAATTCTCTCATTTTTTCAAGTTAGATTTGATTAAATTTTTTTCTTTTGATTAAAGCAAACGAAGCCTTGTCCTTGTCAAAGAAAACAAGTCCTGAAGAAACGGATAAGACAATGCCAATGGCACTGGACCTCTATACTTGCGAAGTCATGATCAAACGTTTGAACATGCCAGGAGCATCTGGCAGCTGTTGAGATTAAAGGAGGTAAAGGAAAAATCTAGAATTTCATCCTTCATGTTGGCTAGGAATTTATTTTCAATTCAAGACAGACCCTTACAATAAAATTCTAGAGCTTCAGCTTAAAATAATGTTCAGATTCTTTTTCTTTTCGTCTCGTCATTTTCAGCAAAGTATGTCTTCCTGACAACTAACAATTGACGAAAACGATCCATGAGGACGGCTCCTCTTCCTTATTTGATGTTACCAACTGTGGAACTTAGCCTACATGCAGTTGCTGAAATAATATAGCTTATGTCTAAGTAATATCAGTTTTTTATATTTAAAGTTTAGGCTGCAGAACACAGTAGACATAGGTAGATTGAAAAAGTCTTTAGGCAAAATAAATCTCAAAATTTTACAATGGCCGTGCATTCACTTTCTTTCATGTACTCTGATTTTTCTGTCAAGTTCCATATTGTTCATTTAAGTTTCATTGAAAGCTTCTTCTGGCAATGTCCATGCTGCCGAAGAAGAATGGGAAGCGAAGGTCTTTAGTCCAGGAACTCAAACTATACTTAGGTCAGTATTTTTATTAAGACTCCTGATGTTAAAGAGTAATGACACTTAAGGATACTCACCCGCATACAACGCTAACAGCCATGTGCCAACGTGTAAATTTCATCTTTGCGAGTATATTTCAGTTTTCAATGAAAAAATACTGTGGATTTATCTGGCCTTATTTTCCCTAGATTTTCACTTTTATATCAATTTGGAAATGTTATTATAGAATCGCAGCTTCATAACAGAGAATTGGTTTCCTATATTGCTACATAAATGCGTCAGGTCTGCAACATTCGATTGAAAAAAGTGATATTCAGTTCTTTAAACCATCAAAGATATTGCGAAGCTTAGGAAAGCTCTGTAAAAACTTTTGTCATTTAGCAGTCGGTCAAAATTTTTTATGTCAAAAAATAAAATTCAAAGTGCAAAAAACGTTGAGATAAGAAGGCATTACAATTGAAATGATCATGCTATTACATTTGAAAAGGGTGGATGATGTCATGTGTTTTAAACGTAAATCATTTTTGTTTCTGGTTCAAAAGAAAAGGTTGGAAGTAAATGTGGGTGAAAAGTGAAATTTACTGTCTATCATTGTAAATATTAGAAAATCAAGGCAATACTGTCTTAATGAAAACATTAACGATTCCCTCTTTATCAAATGAGACAAACGGGAACGAGTTTTGAGTGATATAACTAAGCCAAGACTGCCACCGTCATTTTGGATCTCCGCCTGGGTAGATTTTAGTCACGTGCTAGGCAACGTGTAATCAAGAACAAGATAGAATTTCATTTCAGGCCTATTTATCAATTTTGTGGTGTATAACTTTCGCATTTTAGTACGTAATATTTTGAATCTTCAAATTGTCTTGAAACTTAAAAGAAAATTGTTCTTTAAAAATTCACTGAAAATCGGTAGCTAAAGTTGTTTGTTTAGGCGCTATTTGATTTTCGTGTTAACTTGTAATTTCGTCAGTCGCCGGCATCTTTTGTTGCTTCACACGGGAAAAACACACGATACAAAACGTAATGATCGATTTTGTCCTCAATCTCACGCCATAACAGAAAAGCTTTTGAACATCTGTAAACTACGACACTTCGCAGTAAGTGATATTTTCAATGAATCTTCGGATTGTTTTCAAGTTCAAGGATTGTAAATTACAATTTTATGAAAAACGAAGGTTGCTCTATTATTTCAGTGTGAATCCTTGCATACCTGCCAGTCGCTGACGCCGCTTGTTGAAACTAAAACGAAAAAAAAAACTCTTTTACGATTATCAATGGCTTCTTTTTCACCCCACCGCTATTCTTAGCAACAAAGGTCGCCATTTCGTTTGTTTATTGCTCGCCAAAAACTATCAAATGCACTCAAAAGCCTAAAACCGAAAAAAAGTTTACAGGAATCGACCAATCGAGCGAGCGAGCGAGTGCCATTCTCCACATCATATCTAGAACTCGCTCTTGCGTATGCGCGCAATTCACGAGTTAAAAAGGAAGATTATAGATTTAGTACTTCACAAGGTAAGTGTAGCCATACTAGGGTTACATGTTCATTTGACAGTGGAATAATCAGTAAAAATAGAAATAGAAGCTATCTATGAGTCAATAAAGTAAACAGTCATTCCTGTGGTTGACAGCAAATTTGCTCAGCTAAATCTGTACGATTAACCAAAGGATGACACAGTGCATCATGTAGGACCGTGTATTTTGCAGCTGAGCTATCCCTCCCTTTCCAATGAAGTAACATTTTGTAGGTTTTTTCAGAGAAATCCTTGTTCCCGTTGTCAAACGCCGTTAAACGTGCTTCCTTAATTTTGAGACGACGCCCGACACTCTTCCATTGTTCGAGTTCAGACGAAATCCACTCTAAATCTTCGTCACTGGGAACTCCTTGCTTAACTAAAAACACAAAGACATCACAGCAAACCATCAAGATGAGGGGAGTAACTATTCATGCCATTTTGCTGGATCCACGCGTTTCAATTTAAAAAGGCAGGGGAAGGAAGATGATGGGGTGAGGGGGGGGGGGGAGGGGGGGGAGAGTGGGGTGGGTCAACGGGCTCGCCAATAGATATGTCCTTATCTCACCTGCGAAAGTTTTTCTTTTCTTTGGGGTTGAAGTGTCACTCGGAGACGAATCTTCATCAGGGCGTTTCATCTTTGGCCGAGGCAAATGTTCAGTAGATCCACCTGCATGATAACAAATTTAAAAAAAATCATTAGACCAGATTTTTTGAGCCAAAAGATTCGTTGTAGCCATGGAGCGTTTTCCTTTCCTAATAAAACGTCTGCTGAGGAATTTTTTTAAAGGCACTTCGTGCCATTGCATTATGCTTCCTTACTGTGTTCACTTTACACGAAATATGCACGTCCATATCCATCCAGAAAAAAAAGATTGTTATCGCCGCGCAAACGGATTTGGTGACATACCATTTATATCTCTTGTTTGCCATCGAGCAAAATGTTTGAAAAAAATCTTTTCCATACAATAAACAACTTGGATAAAATAAAAGACATTCACCAAAATGAAAACTTGCAAGGGCACTTGTAGCACTTATAGCACTTACACACTTGTATAGTATTCTTAACAAATGTTGAGGGTAACAAATTGGAACATATTTTTCGGTCAATAGATAAGCTTGTACATATCCTTGACGATTTTCCTTATCCGCTGAAAAATTTTCAGGTTTCTCCGTCGTCAAGGGCCATTTCATTTTACACTTGATAAGGAGGCCCACGTACACAGATTGAATATTTTTTTTTTGGGCTTGGTGACCCATCATTTCTGATGAAAAAACTTACCAGTTCGTTTCTTACGTTCAATGGATTTCAAAGCCTAAAAGGCAGAAGGAAATAGTGGCAACTTTACGCTTACAGTTAGCAGTTATTAGAATAAATTGAGAGATAAATATACAAATAAAAGTAATTCAAAACGTATACTTTAATAACCCAACTGACTACCTCTCATGTGATCTCATGAGGAGTAAGTTTTTGGATACAAGTTTATTAAGGCGAATGGTTGAAAAAAACAATATGTAATGATTATCAGATATGGAAATGGACGTCGTGCATCGTAAAGGGATCTCCCTATCCCTCTTTTGAGGCCTACACATTTGGAAATGAAAGAACCATTGTAGCTGAAATTCAAAAGTAGAGAACCTGGGAAAACAATGAACTACAAATACTTCAAAAAGTATACAAAAATGTAGCTTCCTCACATAAAGTCGCCCAAAGTGCTGCAACTCACAGGTAGCTGATTCTGACACTTGATATTTAGAAAACGCGATAATAGTAGTAAAAGGGAGTATAAGTATTTCATATAAACCCTTACATCATTTAAGACAAACTTCCTAAAACATACAGTGAATCCTGTGTTTGGCACAAGAAAGATAATTTCAAATGTCTCTATCTTTCTTTCCTTTTTATTTGTGTTTGTTTCTTTTTTTATACCTTTTCTGGTAATCACACAAATTTTTAAATTAGAGGAAGATCATTGCAGCTAGTAGAACTTTTGAGGTATTTGTAAAAGATAAACCCTGAACCAATTCAGGTTCTGATGGGAATCGAACATCCTACGAAAGTGTTGCGTGCGACAGAGCTATCTGCCAACCGCGAGTATTAAATTCTCCTGATTCGCTCTACGTAAATTGAATTTATGTTTTTTTTCTAACCTGAACCCAAGGATCCAGTTTTTCGGTAGGATAGTCGGGAACATCATCAACAGAGTGTTCACAGCTCAGGCCAAAGCTTCTTAACGGAATGTAGTGGCCACAGTCAAAATGAGAGCAGCCTTTCTTTTTGTGCAATAAGCAAATATTGGTTCCGTCACGACACTTATCTGGACAAGGTTCACACAACGAGCATTTCACAGACAATTTTATCGTGACTGATCGTAACCACGGACAGGTGACGCTTAGCCTAGTCTTGCAACGCTCCAGATGACTGCAATGAACAAACATAGTAACAAGGACATCAACAACGCGAATAACACAAGCATGACTCATTGTATCGTACATTTAATTGTAAGCATTCCACCTAATCGAAAAAAAAGGAACCTAAAAAGGTCCTAAATCTAAAAAAAATCTGTCGTATGGATCAGAAAGATTTAAAAAGTCAAGAAAATTAAAGAGGGCCTCGAAGTTTCCCTTTATTTACAGCAACGTGACAGTATTTAATAAATATTTTTGATTATGGTGTTCCATTTAATATTGCTTTAACAGTAATTATTAAGTTTAAATGAAACGAAATAATGCCAGATATGATAGTGGCTTACCTCAATAATTCTTCGCAAATTCTTTTCTCTTCCATTTTATCCGAGTCTCGCGGTGTCCAGATTTTCAACTTGATCACAGTTTTGTGACACTCTAGAGTGAGCTGATACACTTCACTAACATTGAATCGGGCGGCGTTTGCAAACAACGAAGGAGCTCTACAGGAGCCACGTAATTGTGAGGTCCACTCCAAAAAATGTACAACCAGTCTGCAAAACAGCCCACTTGGAATGTAGTTGGTGTTAAATGTGAGAAATACGGGCAAAGGGCCACTGCGCATGTTTGCGTCTCTCGTATTCTTCTTCGGTGATTTCAACATACATGGAACGAAAAAAGGATAATCTTCGCCCTTGCAGTTCTTAGAGTTACATATAACATCAAAGCTTTCCATGATATGAATCAGTGAACCCCTTATATCATTCAATTCAAGGTGTTCAAACGCTCGATTTAGCAACTGCTGCGAAAGCAGTCCCTCTTTTCCAAGGACTTGATAATCTCTCTGAATAACAGGGTGGTTTTCCCATGGTGGACTCACCGTTATTATCTCACATAGTACTTTAATTAACCACTGCGGATCCAGCACGACCAAACCATCTGGATTTTCAGGGCGATCTTGGTAGATAACTCTTCCACGAGCTTGTAAAAAGTGCAGCAATTCTTCAACGTCATTTGTGTCATTTAACTGACAAATGCCCCCAGAAATGTCTTCTGTGAAACGCTTTTTACCAACATAATGCATCCCTTTCTCTTTCACCATTTCGTCGACTTTTTGCTCCACGCGGAGCCACTGCATAGGGATTACCTTGCTGATGTGTGGCATTTTTCTAGACAGATTCAATAATTTCGTACGCAAAGAAACGATCTGTGGGTCGTCTTCTCTGTTTGGATTTGTGTTATCTATGAGGAATGATTCTTTTGAAATATGGTGTAAAGTTGCTGGAAGAGCCATGCTGCAAATGGCGTCTATCACAGATTTCATTTCCTTGGAAGGATTCCTTACAAGATCAGCATGTGTACCCACAAGCACCACAGGAGGCAAAACATCCTTAGTGTTTACCGGCTTTCTCTGAAACTCTGACCGTCCCAAAGAGTGCACCAAGTCCAGCCATCTCATCATGTGATCGAGATTAGTGTCCTCGACGTAAGGCGAGTTTACCACTATTTCGTCGTGATTAGGCAGTCTTACCCGACATTGGGCAGGAGCACTTAACTCCTTGGTAAGGTCTGACACTAGGACATATATGGCTTCTGGCGATAGGAAAATTGGAAGAATGGCATGGTAAACTGCCAGGCCTGCGAAATCCCAAACAAAGGGCCATATACCCTCATTGTCGGAGGTGTCGTTTCCCTTGAGGCCAAGATCTACGAGGGAAAGGACTTTCTTGGGTACTTCATCTGGTTTTCGCTCACTTTTGACTTCCTGCAAAACTTATATTGATATTTTTCAATCAGTATTTACGTTTCTTAAACACGCTTTTCAAGTGCACACAACATACAGAAGCCTACCAGTTAAGCTTAATATGACCCAGGACCGGTGGTTCAAAGCAATAGTAATGCGAACATTAGAGACTGAATTTTTATCTCGTGTATAAGGACTAAAAATTTACAAAAGCAGAGACAAATGTTTACCGTAAACCTACCCACACCGACAAATACCGCGCTTTCGACTCTCACTACCCTATTTGCCATAAAAAAAATTCTGTAGTCAAAACTTTACTCAGGAAGGCTAACTGTCTACCATCTTCACTCGATTCGAAGGCTGAGGATTAAAAGTATGTTTATAATGTGCTAGAGGCGAATGACTATACCAAACCTATCTCCGTAACTGCCGAAAAGCAGTTCGACGCTGCCACCAGCGCCTTTGCCTTTGGAAGCTTAACATATCAACTCCGCCCACGCTCCTTTAAATCGTGATGATGGCGGCTTACTTCCTGACGCCTATTTACATCTCGTCAGAAAAAAGGGCAGCTAATTAGTGGGTGGATAAAAGAACCACTTGTGGCAGCGTTTAGATCACCCCTGATGAAGGCACTAGACAGGAGTGTCGGAGCGTTGGGTCTATGAATTGTAACTTCTCTGTTATATTCATTATCAGAGGTTCAGCCCTTACAAAAAATTAACTAAGCCTGAAAAAAATTACAGTTTCAGTAAAATGTAAGGCGGCTCGTCGCCCTCGAAATGATTCAGAAAAATGTTAAGTTTACATAGTACACGGCGGGGTTGACAAAAGTTCCTGACAAGTTCGTTTCCAAAAAGAATAGCCAAACATTTCCACAATCAGACGAAATGTACAGAACAAATAAAACAGTACCTAATCAATTTTTCTCCTGAGGGGAATAAAACAAAAGACACAAATAGCGGTACTTTGAAATAGAAGTGCTACAGCACTGTAAGGGTTTCATCATTCGTGATTTTGTTGACGATATTAAGCACGAAAGTCGTTCAAATAATCGGCCGTTCATCTTGAACGGCGACTGTGCTGCCGTTTTTTTCAGCCTCGAGTAACCTCTCTGGTAGTTAACAAGTACTTTGAATCTGTAAAGAAGCTAGTTAATGTCAGGGCTATAATGAGCTTTGCCTTACCATTTCTATTAATGACTTCTTTTGAAGCAAGGTCGTCATTTGAACGCTCTTGAGTCGCTCCCTCTCCACTTGTAGGTTCCTCAGAACTGCTGAGTAACTCCTTTACAACCAATTCTGCCCACTTGTGGTCAAGTGCACTTGTGTTTTCAAGCGGGGCTGGATTCCTCCATGCCCCTTTTCCTGCGTTCTTGACAGGGGAAATCATTTCAATCCCATTAGTGCTGGCTTCATCTTTATCAAATGCTTCACCTCGGAGGTATCTTCTCAGACTTGTTTTGCCAACACGATCCTGACCAATCAGCACAATTTTGGTACGTCTATCGAAAGTTTCGCCTGTCTCCAGTGCTCTCCTGTATGCTTCTAGTGCCACTGGTCCCCTCGCCTGTATGTAGTCGGGGATTGGATCTGTAGCAGCTCAAAAAAGTTTAAAAAAAAAACAATTAATTTGCTCCCTTGAAAATCTAAAACACATACAGAATTAATGTTCAGAGAGCGCGTAAAAGTAATTTCATTTAACAACTGTGAAAAACCTATTGCTGCAAGGACTTCGAGAAGATATTTCTCCGTAATATTTCTTGGGACCTTAACTGCTAAGCTGAATTTTTATATGGTTTTCGGAGGAGTGTTTTCCACAATCCCGCTCCAGAGCACACTCCTCCGAAAACCATATAAAAATCCAGCTAAGAAGTGAGTGGACTAGGCTACGACAAAACTGAGAAACCTTTCAAAAGATAAGTTGCTTTACTGAATTTTGCACTACCAGAAAACAATATGAAAATATACAAACAAATCAAATTATCTTCCTTCGCTTTGATTTGGTGACAGGCAAATGAAGTGACACTTTTCCAGTTTCGAGGCGCTATCGACAACGTACATTAAAAAGATACAGTGGCCAAAATGCATGGTGTCTGAGAAGTTAGGCACTATACTTGTATGTAATTGTATTGTTATTGAATTGCAAGATTAGTGATATATTACCAGGGATAAATTGGGACAAATTCGAATTTGCCCCAAGTTGCTCTGCTAACTCTCTGCCATTAACCAATGGATGACACAGTGCATTTTGTAAGACCATGTACGTTGCAGCTGAACCATTCCACTCTTTCCAATGTCGTAACATTTTGTAGATTTTTTCAGAGCAGAACTTATTTTCATTGTCAAACGCCGTTAATCTTGCTTCCTCAATTTTGAGACGACGCCCAAATGTCTTCCATTTTTCAAGTCTCTGCGAAAGCCACACTAAGTCTTCGTCACTGGGAATTCCTTGCTTGACTAAAAACATAAAGACATCACAGCAAAGCATCAAGATGAGGGGATAGCGAGTAGTGCGTATCGCAACTATTCATGCCATTTTGCCGGATCCACGCATTTTTATTTTACAAAGGCAGGGGGAAGAAAGATAGGGTTGGGGGGTGGGGGTAACGGGCACGCCCATAGATATCTCCTCGTTTTACCTGCGAAACCAGTTTTTCTTTCCTTTGGAGTTAAGGCGTCACTCGGAGACGACTCTTCACTAAGGCGTTCCACCTTTAGCCGAAGCAAATGTTCAGTAGAACCCCCTGCATGGTAACAAATGTAAACAAAAAAATCATTAGACCAGAACATGTTATTTGAGCCAACAGATTCATTGTAGCAATGGAACTTTTTCCTTTTCTAATGAAACGTCTCCTGATGAATTTGTTTCAAGGCCAATTTGCGCCATAGCATTTTGCATCCCTACTGTGCATCATTTTACAAGAAAAATTCACGCTTACATACACAAACAGAAGATATCTTGTTATTTTTTAGACAGTAAGAAAATTGTCATCGCCATGTAAACGGATTTTAGTTTGCAATCGAGCAAAAAGCTCTGAATACACTTCTTCATAAAATAAGCAACTTGGGTAAAGCCACTCAAACTCTTCGTCACTAGGAACTTCTTGCTTGACCACAAATATAAATACATCACAGCAAAGTATCAAAGTGAGACGATAGCGAGTAGTACGTATCGCATCTATTCATGCCATTTTGCTGGATCCACGCATTTTTATTTTACAAAGGCGGGGGGAAATGGGATTGGGTGTAAGGATTAACGGGCATGCCCATAGATATCTCCTCATTTTACCTGCCAAACGACTTTTTCTTTTCTTCGGATTTAGGGCGTCACTCGGAGACGACTCTTCATCACAGCGTTTAACCTTTGGCCAACGAAAATGTTTAGTAGAACCACCTGTACAAGTGTAAAAAAATCATTAGACCAAGACATGTTAATTGAGCCAACAGATACATTGTAGAATGTAGCTTATCCTTTCCTCATGAAGCGTCTCCTGATGAATTTGTTTCATGGCCAATTTGCGCCTTTGCATTTTGCATCCCTACTGTGCATCATTTTACAAGAAAAATTCACGCTTACATACACAAACAGAAGATATCTTGTTTTTTTTTAGACAGTAAGAAAATTGTCATCGCCATGTAAACGGATTTTAGTTTGCAATCGAGCAAAAAGCTCTGAAAAACACTTCTCCATAAAATTAGCAACTTGGGTAGAGCCACTCAAACTCTTCGTCACTAGGAACTTCTTGCTTGACCACAAATATAAATACATCACAGCAAAGTATCAAAATGAGACGATAGCGAGTAGTACTTATCGCATCTATTCATGCCATTTTGCTGGATCCACGCATTTTTATTTTACAAAGGCGGGGGGAAATGGGATTGGGTGTGAGGATTAACGGGCATGCCCATAGATATCTCCTCATTTTACCTGCCAAACGACTTTTTCTTTTCTTCGGATTTAGGGCGTCACTCGGAGACGACTCTTCATCACAGCGTTTAACCTTTGGCCAACGAAAATGTTTAGTAGAACCACCTGTACAAGTGTAAAAAAATCATTAGACCAAAACATGTTAATTGAGCCAACAGATACATTGTAGAATGTAGCTTATCCTTTCCTCATGAAGCGTCTCCTGATGAATTTGTTTCATGGCCAATTTGCGCCATTGCATTATGCATCCCTACTGTGCATCACTCTACAAGAAAAATTCACGCTTACATACACGAACAGAAGATATCTTGTTTTTTTTTTTAGGCAGTAAGAAAATTGTCATCGCCAAGTGAACGGATTTTAGTTTGCAATAGAGCAAAAAGCTCTGAAAAACTCTTTTCCATACAATAAGCAACTTGGGTAAAGCCACTCAAAATCTTCGTCACTGGGAACTCCTTGCTTGACCACAAATATAAATACATCACAGCAAAGCATCAAAATGAGACGATAGCGAGTAATTCGTTTCGCATCTATTCATGCCATTTTGCTGGATCCACGCATTTTTATTTTTTAAAGGCGGGGGGGAAAAGATGGGCTTGGGGTGTACGAACAGGCACGCCTATAGATATCTCCTCATTTTACCTGCCAAACAAGTTTTTCTTTTCTTCTGAGTTAAGGCGTCTTTCGGAGACGACGCTTCATCACGGCGTTTCACCTTTGGCCGACGTAAATGTTTAGTAGAATCACCTGCATGATAGCAAATGTTAAAAAATCATTAGACCAAAACATGT